ATATTCTTTTTCACTTACAATTAGAAAATAGCAATAACTATGTAAGCCAGTTCCTTAGTTCTAAATGTTTAGTTCTAATCACTTTACATGCATACATTGTTCCACTTAATCGGCACAACCACCCTGAGAGACGTTTTACATTTTACAGATGAGGAAATTGAGTCCAAGAGGTGAACTGAATTAAAGAGGTCATGTGACAAGGGGCACAGCCAGATTCCACCTGTTCTAGCTGATGCCAAGCCCATGAGTTTTTGTCCTTATACTGTTTAGGTTGAGAATGAGCACCCAGGACAGCTCCACTTATCTCATTGAGATGTTATTCATTTTGAGCCTTCCTGTTTCCTCAGTTAAGTCAATTCATTAATGTGTTACAGCCAGCGCCCCTCAGGGTTGTAAGAGACTGCAGAATTTATTGGGTCAAACCTCCATCTAATCTGTGAGTCTTCTTTACAACACTCCTCACATTGGTTATTCTGTCTGTTTTTAAAGACTTCTAATGTTGGAGTATCCATCCTGAGGAGGAAACAGCCAACTCCATTTTCAGACAGTCTGTCTACTCCCTGGAGCTGCCATTCGCTCTTCTAAATTCTCTTATCTACATAAGGCTAAGCTGGCTTGCTCAGCTCTCAGCACCCCTCAGAGCCCTGCTTTCCTAGGTAAATTGCTTCATAAACAGGGTTACTCTTGCACTTTCATTCTTGCCTGAGTTACTCATTTGTCAATAACCCCTCACTCGTGAGACACCCAGGACTGCACCCAGAGCTCAAACTAATTCTGGCCAATTCAGATTCTATCCCATCGTTGAGTAGGGTGATTCACATTTATGATTGCAGCCTCAGATTGAATATCTTCTTTGGGCAGCCATGTGGAACTCTTGTCTACTACTGAGCTTAGTCAACAAGAGATGTGATGAGTGGGTAGAGCTTAGCCAGTCTTCACCAGCCTGGGCTACCAGATCTTAGAACAATGAGGTCCCAAACTGACTGCACATAATTTCACTTCAACAAAAATCGTTTATTGTGGCAAACACTTTAGCCTTGCATGGTGATTTTTCATTCCTCACCATGCAAGATGTACTCTATTATGTTTTGCACATAAAGAAGGAACTGGTTGGTTGGTTGGTTGGTTGTTTTTTAAAGTTTTGTCCAGTAACAGCTAATCAATGGATGTCTAAAGAGGCAAAAAGACAGCCTACTGGTTGCAGCTACTGTGAAGAACAGTATGGAGTTTCCTCAAAAAACTAAAAATGGAACTTCCATTTGACCCAGTAATCCCACTTCTTGGAATATATCCCAAGAAATCAGAAACATCAATCAGATGTTTCTGATTTCTTGGGATATATATGCACCCCTATGTTCATAGCAGCACAATTTATAATAACCAAGATTTGGAAACAGCCTAAGTGCCCATCAGCAGATGAGTGGATTAAAACACTGTGGTACATCTACACAATGGAATACTATACTGCTATATAACAGTTTATTTTTGCCACAACATTCTTAACTTTCCTTCTCTTTTTTAATAATTAGAAGGGAAAAATCTTAGATGACTAATGGAAATATATCTGGAAAATAATATGTAATTAAAACACCAAATATGGATATTTGATCTTTGATATTGTGGGTGATTTTTGTTCGTTTTTGTTTTGTTTTGTTTTTATAGTTTTAAATGCTGGGGAAAAAAACTAACAAGAACACCTATTTTTATTGTGCATTTACCATGCGCTATATGCCACAGATACATTTTCTCATTTAGTCCTCATAACAAATAACCAAGATTGCTATTATATATCTTCACTTTAAAGCCAAGGAAAATGAGACGTGGGAAGGTAATAGTACTTGCAGGTTAGCGATGGAGCCAGAATCTGTTCCTCTGAGGAGAGGGCTGCTGTTCTTACCCATCATACTGCATATCCTAAGTTTTTTAAGACTATAATTGATAAAATCAGACAGCTGTTTTTGAAAATGAAAATGGTTTGCAACAATAGCTCATTTCTGGTATAAGCATATAACTTGTTACCTGTGGAATATTAAAAAAAAAAAAAAAACCTAACACAATGTCAGGACAACTAAGAAAATCATCAATATATTAAATCCCCTCAGTCCTGTCTAAAATGTTTAAAATTCAAATGTCTCAAGTTTCTTGAAATTGATTAGACATAGAAGAAAAGCAGCAGTGTTAATTGCGGTTAGGTGAATGAAGTCTGGATTTTGAGGCTGGATGAAAATTGATTGTGCTAAAAATAGTCTTCCATAATTAAATGAAACTGTGCTGTGCACTTTAATTAGTCAGAAACTTATTCTAAGTGGTAACAGTAAGGCCTGGTGTGTATCATTAAGTGAGAGCCAGGCAGCCCCCTGCCACCACCATCCCGCCCCACCCTCTCTGAGCTGAGGTTCCTCTGATGCTCACAGCAGTTTTATTTATGCATCCCCTGCTCGCATTTGAAACTGCAGGAAAGGTTATGCATCTTTTTATAACCCAGGTGTACACATTATAAAATCTTTCTCATCCTTTCCTTCAAAAGACTTGTAATCGCTTTAAATTCTGGAGAACCTCAATAGGGAAACAAGTAACTGCCTTAAAAAGTACTGGAAGTCATTGGCACTTCACATTACCCACCAGGGGGCTTGGGAGAGTCAGTAAACACTGTAAAATTCACTTGACAGATTTCTGTCAGCATCTATGAAGACAGGATGAGCCTGCCTCTTTGAAAAGCTTTTCAAGGCAGACACTGAGACTCCAAAAAAAAAAAATAAATAAAAAAATAAATGTCTCCTAACTCCTTCATATCTAAGTGATCAGGTTTCATGGACCTAAAAAGGGAACGCTAATATATTTTTATTGTTGTTTTTAACCTTTGTTATTGTAAAATTAATGCAAAACCAGAAAATTCAAAAAGTATGGAAAAATGTAAAGAAGCAGGTAAAGCCTCACCCATCATCCCTTCATTCAAAGAGATTTCTCTTAGCAGGGTACCTTATTTCCTCCAAGTAGTTTATCTAGCCATCGCTTTTGTATACCTGAGATCATTCTGTTTGCACAATTTAGCGCTGTACTAAAAGGACTCACTGAAAAAGAAATTTTGAACTGCATTCCCAATTTTAACCTGGATATGTGGTGGCCATTCCATGTGCTTCTAGATTCACGATGCCTGCTGCTCAGAGCCTTCATTGAAGGGAGGCCCCCACTGAGGACTGTGGTAGGAATGAGTATTCTGGATATGATAAAGGAAGAGAGCAAGACCTACTATTTATTTACTAGTCTGAGGTTTACGTTGTGTTTACCTTTATTCCCTGAACATTGGTATGCAGAAGAAATAAGGTTATATTTGTCATTCCAAGCAACTTGGAAAAGTTCCCACTACAGCACAACCACCACCAGGCATGAGGGTGGTGTGGAGGATTCAAAGGCAAAAAGCAACCTCAAATCAAGTTGATGATGTGTCAATAAGTCACAGGACTTAGAATCATAGAAATTGAGATTTACAGCTAGAGTTTGGATCTCAGCCCCTGACTCAGGTATTCAGGAAATGCCCATTTCTTTTTGTTTTCTTTAAAAGACAGTAAGGTAGCCGAAACCGGTTTGGCTCAGCGGTAGAGCGTTGGTCTTCATACTGAAAGGTCCCAGGTTCGATTCCAGTCAAGGGCACGTACATTGGTTGCGGGCACATCCCTGGTAGGGGGTGTGCAAGAGGCAGCTGGTCGATGTTTCTCTCTCATGGATGTTTCTAGCTCTCTATCTCCCTCCCTTCCTCTCTGTAAAAAATCAATAAAATATAATAAATAAAAAAAAGAAAGTGAAAATTCTCTTTTAAAAAAAAAAGACAATAAGGTGGTTTCCAAGCATCTCTCTTGCCACACTGGGAAGGTAATTTAGTCTCAGACACCAAATCAGGGAAGCGTATGTGCTGCCAGAAAACAAGGATGAGTCTTCACTTTCTTATTTGCCTTGCTGCTAACAGCCAACCAAGCCCCAAGTGGTTCCTTAAAATTCTTTTTTTTCTCTCTCTCTCTTTCTATTTTCCTGACACATGGAAATCAGAGTTCAAGTCAGGCCTCTCGCCCACTTATCCCCTCTGTCATTCCCTTGGAGGTCAGTCTAATTTGCTAGGGAAATACCTAAAAACTAAGCACCAGCCTCTCACTCATCTCAGAACCTACCACCTTTTCCCTCCCCTGGAAAGTTCCCTTTTCTCCCTTACATTCTTTAAGACACTTGCCCCTTTTTCCTCTCCCCAGAACACCTAAGCCAACCTGGGACAGATCTTGGAAAAAAATTCTGCCTCCATCCAGAACACAAATCTCCTCTAAAGTAAAAACAGGGTTCCCTTTTGAAAGATGTAACAAATAAAAAAATAAAACTATAAGAAAAAAAGTTATTTTTTAAAAATTATCCTTCCATAGAAAAGACCTTGAAGACAACTCAGCCAAGTTCACAAAGCCAGGGTCCTTCATTCTTTAGCATCAGGAGGCCAGGTTTGCTATAAGGTGATAAGGAAGCCAGACTAGGAATCAATTCCTGTGCCACCCTAGCTTTGTGACCACAGCCTTCTAGGATCACATTTCTCCCAGCACAGCGCATGGCACAGAATAGGGTCAACTAATGTTACTTTTCTTTGTCCATAGCCAACTGCCTCAACCAAGACACTGCCTAGCCAGTCACAAAGCTGTTGCTCTAACTCCTCATATCCTAGGAACACCTAGAAAGGCCACCCTTTCTAAAACGTGTGTCTGGTACCCACACCTAAAATTGGTCAAGTAATGGATTTCTAGCTGAATTTGGCCTAGATGAGCCAGGGCCTTCAGGTGGTAGCAATTTTCCTGCTGGGAAAGTCACAGTTCATTCGGTTCAACACTCTGCCCTCTGAGGACCCTCCAGAAGCTCTTCGGCTTTGAGTATTATTTTGATCCATAAAGAAAACTGTCTTTCTGGAAATAAACCAAACGATAGAGCATTCTCTTAAATCCATATCTCTTGATTTTTTTCCTGTCTCCTAGTCAGATACAGAGTTTTGGGATAAGATGCAAGCAGAGTGGGAAGAAATGGCCCGGAGGAACTGGATATCCGAGAACCAAGAAGCCCAGAACCAAGTTACCATTTCAGCCAGCGAGAAGGTGACCAATTGTCTTCTTATACATGCTGACAGGATTTCTCAATCTCTCTGAACCATATAATTATAAATTAGTTGGTAATCATTTTGGGGGGGGGGGAAATCTAAGACTCAAATAGATGATTTAATATCAGTCAGATCTAGAAGAAATTCTGGTAGATGAAAACAATATAATCAGACAATGTATCAGAACAGCAAAGCTGGAATGGAATACCCTTATTTTTATCAGTGTTGTTACAGACAGTTTGGCAGTCAACTACAGTTTATTTCCTGACTGCTGGCCAGTTACTGACCTATCGTGTTTCCCCAAAAATAAGGCATCCTTCGAAAATAAGACCTACTTACAGGTTTCCTTCTGAGTGAAATATAAGGCATCCCCTGAAAATAAGCCACCCCCCCCCCCCAGGCTAAACATGAGAGATTTGGTCCACTGATTCTGAAAGAAATGGAGTCACAAGAAATTCACCAGGAAATTCAGGAATTGGATTGTTATGATGATGTTCCAGAAGATGATGACATGATTGTCATTGAATAAATGAGTAAATTCTTGATACTATAGGATTCACAGTTTGTCTGGTTTGTGTTGACAACTACCGTACTACCATACCATATACAGGTAATAAATTTCCTTTATTTTCATTTAACAATAAATGTGTACCATATTCTTCTTCATGGAAAAATAAGACATCCCCTGAAAATAAGACCTAGCGCATCTTTGGGAGCAAAAATTAATATAAGACACTGTCTTATTTTCGGGGAAACAGGGTAGCTGACTTTGAGGATGTGTTCTGGAACAAGACCTGGGCTAATCCCACAATGCTTTTCATCAGTCAGCCCCATGAGCCATGTCGATGAGCTGACAGAAGTGATATTAATGGGCAGGAGGGTGAAGCAGGGCTTAGGACTGTATCTCGCAGGTAGTCATTATACAGCTAGCAGAGAAACTCCATGGAAAAGATAGCCTTCACACAACCAGGTCAAGTCTCAAGGGATCCCTCAGAGATATTTCTCTTGACCGGAGCTCCAGCAAATATGAGCGTAGTGAACAACCAGCCAAATTACCCATGAGGTCCCAGTTGCCCTTGGATTAATGCTTTTAAATCCAAGGGAAGAGCAGGGGCTTGAGAAATAAGTTTAAATGACTTGAGAGATAAAAAGATTTGTGGAATTTTCTTACACTGGGGAGGGGAATCATATATAGTATGTGCTTGTATTATGATTTTTGTGGAGGAAATCTCAATAATATTTAATTCTATACAATTTCCATGATAGTTCAACCCAACAAATATTTATTTGTATCTACTCTGCACTAGCTACTAGGGAAATGATGATTAATAGTCCCTGATCTTAGGGGATTTTCAATCTACATAGTCATTAAAATGTCTTTCTCTTTTTCATATTCTGTGTCCCTCAGTAGGCCAGGCAATCTCATAAAATTGGAACAACCATCTCATTAAGAATAACTGTCTTTTCTACAAAAAAAAAAAAAAAAAATCAAAACTAAGTAAGAGAAAGAACATTGATGCAGAACATCAGACTCTAATTACAGATGTCTCCTACTTCCATCTCCCCATGCCCCACTTTGAACTATAGTCCTTGAACCTGAGATATGGCTTGGACCCTGAGCCCCACACTCCTGGGACTCCATATCTGCAAAACAATTACATAAGCTCCGTGGCTTTTGATAAGGGGTTTGTCTTTTTGAAGGTCTTCACTTGATCTATTTTAAAACCTCAGTAGCATCATCTACAGGCTAGCTTAATTGTATCTATCAAATTAGAAAGATGTTATTATAATCCATGCTAACTAATGTTGCAATAAATAATATCTCTCAGGTATTTCTGTTGAGAATTTAAATTGGGACATACTTTCTCAAGAACAATTCAGCTATGCATATCAAGGGCCTCAAAATAGTCATATCTTAGTCTAATAAATCTCTCTAGAAGTCTATCTTAAAGTAATAATCAATGCACACGAAGATTTGAGCATGAGGCTTTCACTGTAACTTTATTTATGAAAATAATCTAAAAGTCCATCAATATAGGTTTGTCTAAGTAAATGTTAATATAAATAATTATAATAACTAAAACAAAGTGGGCTTACACTGTAAAACTGCACTTATAGTATGAGCTTATTTGTTTAAAGTATATAGTCATAGAAAAATACTAGAAGATTATTTGTACATTCTGTGTTGTTTACATTTTTACAATGAAAGAAGATCATTAACTTTAAAACAAGCATTCTCAGGGGGTGATATAGCCACCAATGGGGATACACTGTTTTGAGGAGTGGGAGGACAAAAGAAATCTTAGATATTATAATGGTTTATAACCTTCAAAGGGGCCACAGTGCATAAACAGATGTACAGTATGCAGAATTAATACTTCAGGGGACTAGGTGGGAGCATGTAGCAAAAATATATGCAAAAACTCAGTATTTTTACACTATTAGGGGGCAGGGAAGGGGGTGGTTAAAACAAAATTAACAAGGGAAATATCAGAATGAAAACAAACTCCAAAACATTAGCAGTGATCATATTTAAGTTGCAGAATTTTAGGTGCTTTTTGTATTATTCAATGACAAAATATAACGTGTATACAATGAAAATGTACATTCATAATAAGAAAAGAACAGTAATTTAAATTTAAATGGTTAATTTTATGCTATGTATGTAAAATAAAATTTCACCACAATTAAATATACTTTTCTTTGGGGTTGGGAAGATGAGGAGGGATAAACCAAAGAGCTTACATACTTAGTGCATAGCCCATGGACACAGGCAATAGGGGGCCAAGACCTGAGGGCGTGGGTTAGAGCTGGGAGGAGGCAGTTAAAGGGACGGATGGGAGACATCCATAATACTATCAACAATAAAATATATATATTAAAAAAATGAATAAAATAAAATTTCAAAAAAATAAAAGAATTTAATTGCAATTCAACTAATTAAGCACTTCAATAATTTAAATTCTAAAAGGGCTTACTGCACGTGAGAATGAGGAGATAAACCGATGGATCTGTGTTGGCCCTTCTGTGTTGCAGGGCTATTACTTCCACACTGAAAACCCCTTCAAGGACTGGCCGGGCGCATTTGAAGAAGGCTTGAAGAGGCTGAAGGAAGGGGACCTCCCCGTCACCATCCTGTTCATGGAGGCCGCGATTCTTCAGGACCCGGGAGATGCAGAGGTGTCTTTCCCCCTCATCCTGCCAGGCTCAGAGAGGGGCTGCACGGGCTAGTGAGGGACAGAGCATGAAACAGAGCTCTACTGCTGGCATTTCCATCGAGTCACGGTTCCCACAGGGGTTAGCCTGGCGTAGTGTGATATAACCTGTGTTCTAACCAAATCTGCAATGTCTGTCTGTGGTGCCACAAAAGACAGGATGGAGAGAAGAGATGAAACACTAATACTGCCTATCTGGTCGCTCAGCAGTGGTGTTCAGGGGCAGTGTGCAGTCTTATCCGGGTCTGGAGAGATACTCACTCCACCTGTATTGGACACACGCTCCGTCCCAGGACTTGTGCCACACACTGGCTCAGATCTCTGGAAGGCTGGAGACATGGGACAACTGAAAAGACGGGTTAACGGTCTATCTGGAGGGACAAGTAAACAAACCAGGGCAAGGTAATAAATGCAAGTGCATAGGAGGCTAGGAGAGCAGACAGCAGGTCACTGACTCAGCCTTCCCCTCTGAGTGAATCCTGAGCTGAGCTTCCAGGGCGAGAGGCCTCATTAAAGACAGCAGGGAGTGGAGTTGTTGTTCGGAGGAAATGGCTGTTGGCTGAGCAGAGGGGCCTGAAACGTTAGGTGAGGGGATGAGGCGGGGGGAGAGAATGGCAGGAGTGGAGTCACCAAGAGGCAGGCAAGAGTTTGAACTTCATCCTGAAAGCCATGGGGAAGGACCACTAGGAAAGGACATGTTAGAAAAACCCCTTTCTCTGAGCTGTGAAGGGTGATTGGAGAGACCAGCAAAGAGGCTTACCTTGGTCCACGACACTTCCAAACCTGTGGAGGCCTGTCATAAGAGAGTGGCAAGTAGAAAGTTTTTCTTCATAGATTGTAGTTTTCGGGAAACTTCTTATAAGGGATGCGCGCCCAGAGGAATTTGAGAAATGTTTAGGAATGGTTCTGTACGGTGCTGAGAAGGCGGTATGGAACAGTGGTTCAGCTTCTCAGACTCTGGCACTCTGTGTGGGTTCAAATACAGCAGTATCATCAGCTCTCCTGCTGGTTGGCCATGAGCCATGTGGTGTGCGACAAGTCATTTAAACCCTCTCAGCTTCCATTCCCTCATACGTAAAGTGGAAATCATGATTGCAATAACCATCTGATTGGGTTTGGCGAGGGTTAACTTCTTTTAGTGCTCAGTTCAGTGTCTGCTGCGTCAGAATTTAGCCTTTATTACTACTATTGGTTGTACTACATGTTGAAGGAACAAGTACACTGGTCACTAAAGCCCCTGGTATCTTGTTAGTCAAAACACTGATAATGAAATGAGACTGAACTAAGAGCTGGCATTCAGAATCAAAATATTAGCATTTTTCAAAAGCTATTTAAAAAAAAAAAGGAGGGGGGTGAAGAGAGTTGCCAAAGAATATATATACATAAGCCTTACCCATGGACACAGACAACAGAGTGATGAAGGCCAGGGAAGGGGCGGCAGGGACTGGGTGGAAGTGGGCAAAGGGGGGACATCTGTAATGGTGTCAACAACAACAAAGATGTTTGAATCATGGTAGAAGAGAAAATCGTTGCATTAATAGAAAAATATAGGTCACACATGCCCCCTGCCAAAAAAAATAATGTTACCTTACATTTCTAAATGCCATATGTTCTCATGTATATTATATCATTTGACAAAACAACTTTGGGAGGTTAAAAAAAAAAGCATGCGTTATTATCCCAGATTCAATAATGAGAAAATGCGGACACTTGATTACAAGTGGGTCCCAGATAATGACCCAGGGTTTCTGAATCTGTGAGGACCCCAATCTGAGATAGCAGACACTCTGTGGACAGTGCAGGTGATGCCCAAAGCCTAGGAAGAAGCCCTCGGAGAAAGACTTCCATCCATCTCTTCTTTTTTTTTTTAAATATATTTTACTGATTTTTTTACAGAAAGGAAGGGAGAGGGAGAGAGAGTTAGAAACATCATTGAGAGAGAAACATCAGTCAGGGAAGGGAGAGGGAGAGAGAGTTAGAAACATCAATGAGAGAGAAACATCAGTCAGCTGCCTCCTGCACACTAGGGAAGTGCCCACAACCAAGGTACATGCCCTTGACCGGAATCGAACCTAGGATCTTTCAGTCTGCAGGCCAATGCTCTATCCACTGAGCCAAACCAGTTAGGGCATCCATCCATCTCTTCTTAAGAAGCATTCTATGATGTATGGAAGGTAACATAAAAAAATGGATGCTGCTTTGTGTACATTTGAAAGATTAAAAAGGGTCACTAAAATTGTGGGGGAAAATAATTAGTACTTTTATGAGTGTGTATAGCATGTGTGATAATAATTCATAATTTGTAGCGCTTTAAGATGACTCTATACGGTTTTCATATAGCTTATTTTCAAACCTCCATAGCAATGATTCTCAACTATGGGAGAGTTATGCAACTTCCCAAACCTTTTCAAATCCCCAGGACTCAGATACACCCCCAGCAAATTTGAGGACAAGGTGTGTAACGGGAGGTCTTTTTTATGTGCATTGCTCTTGTAATGGTGTGAGAATTAAAAAAGTCATTCTAGATGTGAAAAACATTATGTGTTTGGAGATATTCCTCACATTATTTACAATAGCAAAGGACTGAAAACAATCTCAGAGCAATAAAGGAACTGGTTGAGTTAATAATAGTATTTAATAATAGTATATCCATTCAACAAAATTTAAATTCAGAACTATAAGTAGGAAGATTTTGTAAAACCATGGGGAAAAAATGCTATGATGCAATATAAAATGTTAAGTGTAGGCTTTAAAATTGTAGGTACATTACATTGCACTCCATATGTTTTGTGCATTTTGACAGTGATTATACAGGGTGGGGCAAAAGTAGGTTTATAGTTGTTTAGATGGAAAATAATACAATAAGTAACAACACAGGAATAAACTGTGTCATGTCCTCAAAACTGTAAACCTACTGCCCAACCCTAAAATAGGGCATTAAACACCTTGTAAGGGGTTTGGTTTGGTTTTGCCCTAGTTCCTAAATTTTCTGTTGCCTCTTCGAATTACTGCTTGACTTTCATTTATACAAGTTAATTTTGTACATCTTGAGACTTCTTACTGTAAACTTTATTTAGCTACATTTCTGGATTGTTTTTCTACCTTTTATCATCACAAATGCATACTTTTGTGTGCTTATCTTTTGGTCTTAAGATACCTAATATCTCAGAAACGCAGAGGTTTTCACGGGTCACAGGAAAGTTTCCAAGTGTCACAAAAGAATTTAACTAGAGAAATGCATGCAATATTTTCCCCTTTTCCAAGACTCTCCCATCTGAGACAGGTTGCTCTGCATAGAGGGATCTGTCGCAGGTAAACAAACCAACTACTGCACATGAGTGATTAATTTGCTTCCTCTTGCAATGTTGACATCAGTTGTTTCTTGTAGGCATGGCAGTTCCTCGGGATAACTCAGGCAGAGAATGAAAACGAGCAAGCAGCTATTGTCGCCCTCCAGAGGTAGTGAAGCTAAGTGCAAAACCATGGGCCTGGTGGACACCTGTGAATGGACTTTCCGTTGCTCCAGATTTACCTTTTGACCTTCATACACATTGCAAAGAATTTGGCTGGAATAAGTGCTGAGAGGTCCCATAGGACTTATACATAATTGTGAAAAATTGGAACTGATGAAGAAATAATGTTCCTCAGTCTCAATGTTAGGCCATTTACAAATCGTTGGCCTTCATTCGCATGAAAGAGTCTATGTCAAAAGCAGCCATAAAATAGACTCACTGAATTAATAGTCCTTTTAATGTCCTATCTTTCTGCTGCATTTGAAAATTCTCTTCAGAAAAAAAATATATACTCAAAGTAATCTCAATGCAGTTTTAACTGTGATGTCTACAAAGCATCTCCCGAGATATTTTCTGCAACCTGCAAGTTTAACTCCTGAGCCCCTGACTAAAGCTCTAGACTACTTTGGGAGGGTGTAGCATCATACCATACTTGATTAGAGACCCCATTTAAACTCTTGGGGGGGGGGGGAAACAGACCCTACTCTTTCATATACATATATAGATATAGATATAGATATAGATGATATAGATATAGAGATAGAGATATTATAGATATATAGATATATAGATATATAGATATATAGATATATAGATATATAGATATATAGATATATAGATATGTCGATATATATCCTCTTCCTAAAGCACTGATATAGGGACCATCTAGGTCTGCTACTCAGTCTTATTCAGAGACTCCTATCATCGTCATCACCCTGGGGTCCTGTCAGACCCACACAGCCTGGGCCCATCATAGGTCCTCTGTATCAGAGGCTGCACTTACCAGATCCCCAGATGATTCTCATGCACATCAAAGTCTGAAAAGCCCTTGCCAGAGGCCAGTGGAATAGCATGAGGGGAAGCATCGTAGCCTGGGAAACCCACATTGATAGTCTGGAGATGTGGAATTTCTCTCTCCTTTTTACACTACGCTGTTCAATCTTTCATCTGTCCAGATTCAATTCTAATCAGTTTGCTTTGTGGATAAGGTGTATTTAATACATTGACAATAGAACAGAGTTAATGATATCCCCTACTTCTCATTAGATTAACTACTAATAAATTGTGTGCAGGGATTTGCCACATTTTCTGTAGTTTTTAAATTATTTATTAAAATTGCCAAACCTGACATGCATCAGGGTGAGTTTTAACTTTCTTAAAAATAAGCGTAGGTCCTAATTTTCATGTAGGTAATGAATGTGATATTCTCCAGGGGCTTAACAGAGCCTTAGCAAGTACTATTTAATTAAAAAATAATAATAATAAGACCTAAGATTTTCTAAAGAACTGTTCAGACTATAACTCCGGGGGGGGGGGGGGAATCTGAAATTGGCTTTCCCCCCTTCCTTCAGGTGCTTAGAATTGCAGCCCAACAACTTGAAAGCTTTGATGGCTTTGGCCGTGAGCTACACGAACACGGGCCATCAGCAGGATGCCTGTGACGCGCTGAAGAACTGGATTAAGCAAAACCCAAAGTACAAATACCTGGTGAAGAGCAAGAAGGGATCTCCAGGCCTGGCCCGGAGGATGTCTAAGTCTCCGGTGGAGAGGTATCCACATCATTAAATTATGCCCTCACACACACACAATTAATCACCCTGACGGTAATGAACGAGCCTGGGGTCCCCGCCACCCAGGCCAGATGGCGTGCTCTCTTCTGCCAGGAGAGCAGCGCTGATTGAAAAGATCGAGCTGAGAGTGGGGCCAACCTTTGGACACGTGATCTACACCGTGGGCACCCACAGATATTTATCGGAGTGCCATACGCTAAAGCCAAATGCTTTGGGCACATAATTAACCCGAAATAAATGATAATAAGTAGCCTTGTGCCAGGTTTTGTAAAGCCTGAGAATTAGGTATGGGGTGGGGGGGAAGTCCTTTCTTCCAGAATGTTATTTCTATTATCAGCAATAAACGATGCTGTTAAATCCTTTCTCACTGGGGCCTCAGACACTCAGGGTTTTCTCCTTCCAGGATCAGTGGAACGCTCCTTTCCTGGCACAGTTTGTGTCTCTGTACGACAAAGTATTTCATGGAAATAGGCAGGAATGTTTAAACTGCAGTATTGATAATAGTCCTCTCCTGTGTGCATGCATATGGGCCTAGCCAGTGGCCATGGACAACAGTGGGGTGGGGGCATATGTGGGGAGGAGTTTGGGATGGGAATGGTGGGATGAGGACAATTATGTGATACCATAATCAATTAAAAAAAAAGGAAAAAAAATAATAGTCCTCTCAAACACTAAGATGTTTTAAGCAAGATGTTTTTTTCCAGTCTGTAAAGAACAGCAGACATGATAGAGAAGCATTTACGTTCAGACTCTTTGGGTTACAGATCTGCTTTCCCCCTGGCAGCTCTGTTCTGGAAGGCGTGAAGGAATTATATCTGGAAGCCGCCCACCAAAACGGAGACGTGATCGACCCAGACCTGCAGACAGGTCTCGGGGTGCTGTTCCACCTGAGCGGGGAGTTTAACAGAGCGATCGATGCCTTCAACGCCGCCTTAACTGTCCGGCCAGAGGTGAGTGCGCAGCAAGAAACCATACGGTTCTCGGTTAAAGGACCGTTTTCACCAGATGTCTTTCATACATTCTCTTGATCCTCACCTGAGGATTTTTTTCCATTGATTTTTAGAGGGGATGAGAAAGAAGAGAGAGAGAGAGAGAGAGAGAGAGAGAGAGAGAGAGAGAGAGAGAGAGAGAGAGAGAGAGGGGAGAGAGAGACATGGATTGGTTGTCTCCCACATGAGTCCCAGCTGGACTAGGATCCAACCTGCAACCCAGGCACATGCCCTTGACTGGGAATCGAACTGAGACCCTCAGGTGCGCAGACCAGTGCTCTAACCACTGATCCAGCTGGGCAGGGCTGTGCATTTTTGCTTCACTTTATTTCCCTGCACCCAGCCGTTGAAAGCGATCAGTACTCATGATGTGCCACTGTAGCTATTCATACTTAAATACCTAAAATAGAAACATGAACTGCCTGACAGCACCCCATGGTAGCTCTCCTTGATGAAGGAGGGTCATTTCCCTAAAGATCTTTGAGTAATTAATTCCCCATGGCCCGGCCCCTGTCCATGAGCTCCGGATAAATGTTCAGCCACCAGCTTCTGCTGCAGGGACATGAGAACTCTGCCAGGGTGGCCGGTGCTGGTGGGTAGAGGCCCCTCTCTCTGTCATCAGGACTATTCCTTGTGGAACCGCCTGGGGGCGACCTTGGCGAATGGAGACCGCAGCGAGGAAGCCGTGGAGGCCTACACGCGGGCGCTGGAGATCCAGCCGGGCTTCATCCGCTCCAGATACAACCTGGGCATCAGCTGCATCAACCTGGGCGCCTACAGGTGAGGTGTGACGGGGAGCGAGCGGGGGACCAAGGCAGGATAACCTGATAGGTGGTTTGCCACTAAAATGTCTCCTTTTAGGAGTAATCTTCGTCCTCCTCCTCCTCCTCTTCCTCCTCCTCCTTCTTTCTCCTCCTCCTCCTCCTCCTTCTCCTCCTCTTCTTCCTCCTCCACCACCTCCTCCTCCTCCTCTTCCTCCTCCTCTTCCTCCTTTTCCTCCTCCTTTCCTCTTCCTCCTCCATCTCCTCCTCCACCCCCTCCTCCTCCTCCTCTTCCTCCTTTTCCTCCTCCTTTTCCTCTTCCTCCTCCACCTCCTCCTCCACCCCCTCCTCCTCCTCCTCTTCTTCTTCCTCCTCCTTTCTCCTCCTCCTCCTTTTCCTTTCTCCTCCTCCTCCTTCTCCTCCTTTTCTTCCTCCTCCTCCTTTCTCCTCCTCCTCCTCCTCCTCTTCTTCCTCCTCCTCCTTTCTCCTCCTCCTCCTCCTCCTCCTCCTCCTCCTCCTCCTCCTCCTCCTCAAGGGCACACTTACCAGCTCCTGAGGCCTGCTGAAGCAGCAACAATTTGTTCAATGCTTCTCAATCTTTAGAGTGCGGGCATCCTACTGGGACCACGTGAAATGCAGATCCCCAGGCCCCATCTAGAGACTTTTTTTTTTTTTAATTTAGTCAGGCAGGGTTGGGACAAGTTATCTGGATTCTTAACATCCCCAAGGGCGACTCTGAGAATAATCTGAACTTTCATTCTCCTGATAAGGGAAAGAAAACCTGGGGGGTATGAGGGAGAGGGAGGCAGGAGAACCAGCAAAATGACTTAAAAGGGGTCCAAGGCCAGATTTTGGCAAAGCACAACCAAGAACCCAGGTTCTCTAAGCCAATAAAGTGAGCAATAAAACAATTTTCAGGAACTGTTTGTAAAATGTGGGTTTACTGTTTGAAATGCTTTTCTTTTTCTCTCACGATTCCTCACTATCACTTGAGTGTATGGCCTCTCCTGTCTCATTTCCATCCACAGGGACCGTACACAACCTTTGTTTCCTTTGTGTAATGAAAATTCGGGTAATTCTTTTCTTCTTTCTTTTTCTATTTTTTTTCTCCTATTTTCTTTTTTTATATATATATATATATTTTATTGATTTTTTACAGAGAGGAAGGGAGAGGGATAGAGAGTTAGAAACATCGAAGAGAGAGAAACATCGGTCAGCCGTCTCCTGCACACACACCTCCTAGTGGGGATGTGCCTGCAACCAAGGTACATGCCCTTGACCGGAATTGAACCTGGGACCCTTCAGTCCGCAGGCCGTCGCTCTATCCACTGAGCCAAACCGGTTTTGGCTTTTCCTTCTATTTTCTAAGTAAACCGGTATTGCTTTCATAACTGGAAAGAGAGAGAGAACTCAGTGCTCGTTTTAAACCTTTTTTCATTCCCAGGCTCTTAGAACCAGATAAGCTTGGGTTCCAATCACAGTTCTGCCGTTTATTAGTTTTATGACTCTGAGCCCATAATAGTGAGCCTCAATTTCCTCACCTGCTTCAAAAAGGGGGGTGGGGGAGTAATAATGTCTATCTTGCAGGATTATTTATTGTGCAGTTTAAGTACAATTGCCCAGCACAGAGCAGATGCTCCATACCTAGCAGGCATCAGTATTACGACTACTTCTGCTGTCATCGTCAGTATCATTATTGTTATTATTTAGGTTAAGTCATTAGAGAGCTACATAACTAGATGGCATCATTTTGCCATTTGAAGAATTCCTGTTTCTGAACTGCTTTAGGACACTGTGCCGTTGACAAACATTAAGGCTCTGGAAACTAGATGCTACATTTATAACAAAGGGATCTTACAAAGAGCATTCATCAGTCCCTGGATTGCTCGGGTCAAAACCAGGAAACCTGAGTGACCCCTGAGCAGCTGGTTTGTGTTATGCTGTGGACGTTGTGACCTTGCTGAGGTCCTCGTGATGGCAGCTTTGCAGAGGGCTGGATTGCAGGGTCCCTCCTCCCTGCACATCAACCTCTCAGGCCTGACAGTGTCCATGTTGTATGTTAACTTCATCCCTGGCTTCCTCTGATGTCCCTGACCTGATCTGATCTTTACGACGTTAAGCGCCATGTCAGTCGCCAGTGACTGAAATGGAAAGGAAGACAAAGCAGGCTTGGCACTTAAGGTGTTACGCATTTTGTTCATGTATTTTCTAGGTATGTTTTATGAGACAACTTAGGTCCTTTTTTTGGAAATAAATACGTATGTGCGTGTAGGTACATTGAATTCAATTAAAGGAGGCTTTTGTAAGGCTTCTGGATGAGTTTTTTCTATTTATTTTTTTAAAATATACTTTTATTGATTTCAAACAGGAAGGGAGAGGAAGAAAGAAAAACATCAATGTGAGAGACAATCATTGATCGGCTAACTCTTACTGGGCATCAAGCCCACAACCCAGGCATGTGCCCTGACTGAGAATTGAACCATGTTACCTCCTGGTTCATAAGTCAACGCTCACTCACCAAGCCACACTAACCAGGCTGGATGAGCTTTTGTGTTTTTTTATTATTGCAACTCTCTGGTGTAAAAAACATACTTGAGGGGCCAACAGACCACTTTCTTGGCAATCACAGATGTAAGCCTCAGGAGGGCAAATATTTGCAGGAAGCCCCGAAGGTCCATGACAAGTAGAAATGGGCAACCCTGGTGAGGTGTGGACTTTTAACCCCCAAGCAGGACAAAAGCAAGTCAATGTTAAAGTTGCTGGATAAAATACAGAATGCCTGGTTAAGTTGGAATTTCACATAAATAGTAAATATGATTTTAGGATAAATATTTCCCAAACATTGCATGGGACATATTTATACTGAAACTTATTCTTTGTTTATCTGAAACTGAAATTTAACTGTGCATCCTGAATTCTTCCTGGCTAAGTCTGTCCATCTGGATCAAAGAGCAACTTTGGAACTTCTTGGCCAAGTTTTGTATGACTTAAATTGTCATGCTAGATATGGGAAAGCTTGTGAAGTGATAAACATATTGCATTTTTTTCCCCTGAAGAAAAAAAAAATGACCATCAAGGGAGACACAAAATGAATTCTGAAAGTAAGTTTAACTTGAGGTGTAAGCATATATGTAGGAAATAACAATCCTCAATAGAGATGTGGCTCAGAGGAGAGCCAGGAGCTGGTACAAAGTCTGGGACGTGTCCCTTAAGAACTGCAGGTGTGCGCGTATACGTTATAACACTCACTGTTTGTCATCGCACACTCTCTATAAGAAGTCGAAGGCACGCCCTACTCTAGTACTGAATACAGTTGAAGTAAGGAGAGGAAGTTGTTGACCTGAAATGAGGGTACAGCTTAAAATGCTACCCTGTTGTCAGTCGGAGTGCCAGAGTAGAGCTTAGACCAACGAATCTTAACCATTTTAAAAGTGAGCGCCCGTTTTTAATGAAAAGATAAATCTCATCCTCTTTGACAATAATACAGGGCGGGAAAAAGTAGATTTATAGTTGTTAGTCTGGAAAATAATATAATTAATAAGTCATAATCTCTATATCTATATCTATATCTATATCTATATCTATATCTATCCATATATCTATATCTATCACACCAAATCACAGCCAACACTTCTGAGACCGCATGCCACAAAATGTGGCCCACCACCCAGCCCAGCCCGGAAATGGTCACTGTGGGCACCAGATAATGAAGTCACATAGCAATGCCTGGCTTCCTCTCCCTAGCAACTAGCCTCCTTGGAGTTTCTTTAGGCCAGGCACATGACTTGAGTTATAGCCAGGTGCAAACATTTTATACTTTAACCAAATGTCTGTGAAGCATTTTTCTGTACTTCATCTCATTTGATCCTCACAGAAATCCTGGGATAGGTAGATAGGAGACTTGGTGGAATCCGGATAAACAAACATTTAGAAAGTTTAGAAACTTGACCTAACTGAAAAAAAGTAAGAAATGTTGGACCTTGAAAATGACTTCAGGCTTTGTCACTGCAGGATATAATCAAATTCTGCTTCAGTTAAATATTTTATCCTTTTTCCTCCCTGCATGATCTACACTACAGTAATAATCTGCTTCATGTTGATATTTACTGCTGTGTTCCTGACAATTACCTGAAAGAGAAGTTGGGGTGCTTCACTGGGCTGGGGAAAGTTTAGCTAAATCAGAAAGCAGGTCTAATTAAGCAATTTTATTCTATATATATAAAAGGCTGAGTTGATTCGCACATGCGCAATACATAAGACAAAGAAAAGCTCTCGCTGGCGCCAATTGCACACATGTGTTTCAATCTGTCATTGTCAATTGTGAATTTGGTTGACAGTTCTATTGCAGAGAAAGGGAAAATAGAGATATTAAAATATTTCTTCTAATTAATTTACTTTTAATGTGCATGAATCCATGCACCAGGCCACTAGTATGAGAATAAATTTTGTCTCCTGCATGCCTCCTACTGGGGATCAAGCCCACAACCTGGGCATTTGCCCTAACCAGGAATTGCACTGGTGACCTCTTGATGCATGAGATGACACTCAACAAACTAAGCCATACAAGCCAGACATCTTTTACATTTTTAACAGCTACTGAGAACTTCACAGGGCTTTTCTTTCGGGGTTTTATCTATGAATTTTACCATTTTAGAACTTAAACAAAAACTTTTGAAAGACTCATTTAAATATAATAAACTAATTACATGTAAATATTAATTACATATTTTACCGCTAAAAATTATTTTTCAAAACAAAAATAAATGTTTAGTGAAGAGTGGCATTCTTTTATCATTTTTTTGTGAATCTATTAATATTTTGCTTAAAAGAAGACTCATTACTGCTTCCACATTCAATCTGTGGGATGTTGAAAATCATGAGGTCCCTAGAAAATTCCAGTGTATATTCATGAGAGAATAACAATAAAAGGTAAAAGAAATCTCAGGATTACTTTAAACATTATTTTGGCCTCATTGATCCTCAGGGTTCTTCCAACAACACTTAAGAGAACAATTTAAATTAATGGTAGGAGTTTTCACATAAAATTATTCCACTGCACCTCATAAGGTTTTAAAATGACTTCTATTCTCCCTATTATATAGTTGGAGGGAACTGAGGTTTATATAATAGAAGATAAAAAATTTGCCTACAGTAACATAATGGGATACAAACCCAGATGCTCTGATAAGAAACTGAACTCTTCTCCTGCTGCTCCCCATATTTCTATCATAAATAGGAAAAGTTAGACTGTTTGTTTCTGAGGGGGTCCAGATGCTTCCTCTTCAACCCTAGTTATATAAACCACATCTGTGAATGGGCTACGTCTTCACGTCATTCTTGGAGTAAAGTGGATGCATTGAAGAGTTAGCCATTATTCTTCCTCTCCCACATGATTTTTCTAAAATAAAAAGGTTTTTTGCTTTTTTTTTCTTTCTGATTTCACTACATTAAATGATGATTTTTCACAAAAGAGTACTGACAGAATCAGAAAGTTGTTCATCTGATGAGCCAACACACCATAGAAAGGTGATTTAGGATTTTAGACTAAAATAACTTCATCCATTTTGGTTGTCTTATTTGCTAATGCTGAAATGCCTTGCATTTGTAAATGTCTGTTTTTCTACCCTCTTAGAGAAGCAGTCAGCAATTTTCTCACTGCCCTCAGTCTGCAGAGGAAAAGCCGGAATCAACAGCAAGTTCCTCATCCTGCCATCTCCGGGAACATCTGGGCTGCCCTCAGAATCGCGCTGTCTCTGATGGACCAGCCAGAACTCTTCCAGGCGGCCAACCTCGGTGACCTGGATGTCCTCCTAAGAGCTTTCAATTTGGATCCTTGAAAGAAAAGAAAACATGATAATCCCTGTCTATATGTGTACTCAGAAATGCAAACCTATTTTATTATGAATTCCAAAATGGTGACACCGGATGTTCAAAAGGCCGTGGTGAGAGAGCCTGAGGGAATACCTACAGACAATGCCCAGTCTCTGTTCAGATCCTAAAGCACAAAAATGTTATATGGAGTCAAGCTCGGGCTCGAAAGAAGAAGCGAGAGGCTCAAGACTAACCAAGATAAAGTAACTATGTGAATACTCTTTCCACAAGCTGCAAGCCTGTCGCAAAACATCTCCTTTGGGTTGTTGTCCCCACTTGCGACTGATAACACATCTAAGGGACTTGCTCGTGGGACACCTGGAGAAAGCACTGCCTCAGATCAGGGAATTCTGACTCTTTCTGAACTGTCCCGAAATTCTCCCTTTTAGAAGATTGAACGTAGTTTGGGCCAAGGTGCATGCACAAATATTAACTCGACTAAAAAGAGGCATTGCTTACACCCGTCCCAATTTTAACTTTTACTGTAGCTTTTTGATTCCAGAGAAGGAGCTTTGCTGGCAAAAAGCAGTTTTTGCACTAGAAATTTTTTGCTGTTCCCAATCAAAACTTTTCTGGGACTGTATATATGCACTTTAATATCTTATTTATGCCTTGCTGGAGTTCTGTTTTGTTGCTCCAATTTTTAACGTGGGGGGTAAAAGATTTGGGAACTCAGCCTTGTTAGCTCAATGGACCAAATAAAAATTCCTGAAAATAGTTTTTCACAGTGTAGGGATTTGAAGGAGTGTTTTCCTTAAAGCAGACGTGACAGAAGGTGTAAATATGCAAACACAGACCTTATTCATGTGCTGTCTGAGACTGTTTGACCTTAAGCAGGCGATTAGGCCCTGTTTCTTCATGCATTCTCTGCAGGATGGAAGTTCGATGATGTCATGATTTCTAATGAGTTAACATTAACTTACCTAAATTTCATATTTTACTTGCTTACCAACTGCCCGGCACACTGATATTCCTTTTCCATTGTTAATATTTTAAATAGCATTTCTTAAGAGTGATAAATACATTTTTCCTAACAATTGTGCTTTTCTGAGTTCCATAAAATCTGCATTGCTCACCCTTTTGCATTCTAAGTAACAGAGACCAGTACTTTGGAGCTGAGTCTCCCTGAACGTCAGAGGTTTCACATGAAAGATGCATGCCCCTGGGCTCTCCTCTTGAACATTTATGAAGTATTAGGACTTCCCGTTGGCAATGGTCTTTTATTCCATTGGTTCCATCCCACTCTGTTCTTCGGAGTGTTCTGTGCTTGTTGGGGGACTCAGCAATTATTCAGAAAGACATCACTTTTGGAAGGTTTAGAAAAATTGTTTGCAAAATGCTAACCAAAATATAACTTCACCAATGCCCAGTTCCGGTAACTTGTCCTAGTAAATTGTCCCATTCTACTTCAGTTTGTCTGGTTCCTCCAGGATCTTCCCAAAGCAATCTGACTACAGCTTTTCCTCATGTCCTTTGGTTAGTAATAGCTGGTTTTACTCATGAATATAGTTAACCAGGAAAACCAGCCATTGGATCAAGACAGTTCAATTGACTGGGGAGTTAGCTTCTACTGCACACATACTGAACTCAGGGTGCAGACAGAAATGGTCTCCTCTGTTACCTTCAAAGTCCCTGGCATAAGAAGGGGCCTCAGGTTAACATGAAACCACAAATCCTTGAGGCTTCTGTGCATTATAACCTATTCTAGTTTACAAAGACAAAGAGTTGAGGGCCCTGTGGTGGCAGCTTTGCTGTTCACTGTCAAAGCTCACTCGGGTGAGGTGATGCCTCCAGCTGGACCAGCAGGAGGCAAGGCATTGAGGCATTCACCAGTGGGCAGCAGTGGCAACCAGTCTTGACCTATTTTCCTGCAGGCTCAGAAGCAAAGAAAAGCTCAACAAGATTTTCAAGGATGGTGTTCTCCGGGATTTCAGAATCCTAGAAACTCAGCCTGGGAAGGACTCATAGGACCAGCCACCAACCGATGGTAGCTACCGGCTGAGTATCGCTGATGGAATAGCATCCCTTCTCCTAACGTCCCTTCCTCCTCCGTATCCCTGTGCATCCATGCTGGCCAGCTGACTCGCATCCATCATAGTCCATTAGGAACCTCCAAAGAGTTAAAAGCCACTTTCATAAATGTTCTGCTTATGACAACATTCTATACTTTCAATAGTAACTAAATTTGCAATAGTAATAGACTGTTTTATTAGCTTTGCTGCCACTATGAAATGAGATCAGTAACAATTTAAAGCCTGACAGTTGGGTAAATGTGCATTGTTTTTATTTAAATTGATTGTTGCTAAGTACTGGCAAATTTGGGACCCCATTTTATTTTGCTATTTGAGTATAAAACAACTTCAAACTCCAAGGAATTGTTTTCAGCGAGAGTGAACAATTTTCCATTCCCATCATAATTTGGTAATTTGCAGAGCATTTGGTAGGACTTTCTCCAATATATCTAGTCCATCAGAACCAAGATTTTCCTAAGCTGTTACCTGTCAGCAGGTGCGGAATTATTGCCCAAGACATTTTTTTCATAATATTTTTAATAAAGTTGAGTTAAAACAGTTACTAAAAAGCAAGTGAAAGTTTACAGCAATCAGAGCAACACCAAAAAGTAAGTAGCAAGATCTTAAAAGTTTTTATTGTATACATCTTTTTCTTAAGTTTATACACCTTTTTTAAAAAGAAAAATTGTTTTGGGTATCTTATCGTCATGGTGTAATGTTGTCATTTATATTACTCTTTCTATTTGAAAGGGGAGGATGGCCTTGGTTCCTTTGGAAGCACTCTGGGGAGGCCTTGATTATCTCCTTTCTTGCATTACCAAGTAACAGTCCAAAATCTCTCAGAGGATGGTACAGTTTTACAAGAGTGGCCACTCAATTGCATAGCTGTGACTCTTAAAGACCAATTTCACCAGGACATTGGATGAAGATGCAGAGAAGGCCAGTGATCATTGCTGAATTTCAAAATAGGTCATAACTGCACCTAGCAGGTTATCTCTCTGTGCTGCTAGACCTCCATGTGAGGAGGAGTTGGAGGGACAGGGGAGAGAAGAGGAAGGAGTAAAGCATCCATTTACTGGACCAACCATATTGAGTCACCATTCCCTTGGCTTTCTCCCACTCCCTATGACTCCTTAAAAGAAAGGCAGATCTTGTTCACCAGGAAACTTTCATAGAAAACTGTGAGCTGTGCTTTCTCAGCTGATCTGCATTTTATCTAAAACAGCAAGTTAGTGATACTTTTAACGGGGTTGGAAAGTCCAGGACACACCCATTTTCACAATTTTATGCCATTTTTTCATTTTTCTTCCTATTGTTAACACTATTATAGATGTTCCCACTTTCCCCCACTTTTCCCACCTCCACTGAGCCCCTGACCCCACCCCCCATTCCCTCCGCTCATCACCACACTGTTATTTATGTCTATGGGTTATGCATATATGTTTTTTGGCTAATCTCTTCACCTTCTTTCATCCAGTCCCCCTCCTCCATCCCCTCTGACAGCCATCAGTCTGTTCCATGTACCCATGCCTCTATTTCTATTTTGTTCATCCATTTGTTTTGTTCATTAGATTCCACCTATAATGAGATCATATGGTATTTGTCTTTCTCTGACTGGCTTATTTCACTTAGCATAATAATCGAGAGCTACCACGTTGAATCTTGGGTCCATGTCCAGTTAGTCACACTAGATAAATCTTTCTAGTATATTCTTGCTGTACAAGCAAGACTTAAACACAATTGTACTAGCCCCACTTGTGCCAGGAGCTCCCAAACTACTTACCATGAACTTGGTAAGCTCCTTGGCAACATAAAAACAAGCTCCTTTTGTGCTCCTTCAGTTCCACAGAACCGGGCTGTACTTTCCCATAGTTGTTGCTGCTGTTTTATACCTTGAAATGCTTTTTTGAAACAGGGTATTCTGAAGGCTTACTTCATGTGTCATCTTTCTGAGGCCTTTTATTTTAGAAATTACTACACATGCACACACATAATTTTGACGTTTTAAAATAAATCCAAATGCATTCCCTCTCTGGGTTTTACTGCACAGTCTATCTTCTCGGTATTTACAGAACTGATTGAACTATAAACTGTTTTGAACTAAGTAGATATATATTTTTTAAGTGTCGGAGATTAATTCTGGCATATGGTTTGTAAAAAGGCAATTTTTAAAAAGTGAAACATATAACCTCAGGTGCAGAAATAACGCATGCATTAATCCTCACAAATCTGCCTACTCAAATATTAACCAAAGCATGCAAGATAACACTACTGAATGTGAATTTACCCAGTGCATGATTAGGCCGCATGGGTTAGCTTATTTTCCCTTGCTTCTGAACCAGGAAGCATTTTCATGAACTTGGTGTTACACTTTCCCTATTTGTTTTTAATATCCTATCCTCGAGATTGTTTTTATGCTGTCACTCTGAACTTGACAGATATCCACGTGTCTGGTTTAGGCAGCATTGCAACCAGAGCCAGACTACACCTCTGACCAGCACAGGCACACAGATTGCTCAGCTCAGTTTTGGGGTCTACATGCTGAAGAGTGCATTTCAAATATTCCCTGAAAGTTTAGGAATAAACTTAGAAATACTGAGATTCTAAATAAGGTAGAGATTAGGGTAATGCCAGGCACATGAAAGTCATTATAATAAGGCAGGATGAATCTGGGGCCTCAATATCCACAAATGTCATGTAGCAAGTGTGTGGGTGTCACACCATGTCCTCAACGTATTCCTGTTTGTATGGTAGGTGAGCTACATGGATCCATGTCCCTTGAGAAGCTGGACTTGGTCATTATGTCTGAAAATATTGAAATTCGGGGATGATGAGGTGGTTTCTCGGTCACTCAGACCAGCTCTGAAGTCTTCTCATGGCCTTTGTCTGTGGTCCCTGCTTTATGAGGGAATAAGGACAAGGAGACCGGAAGTGTAGGGAGTAGAGCTCAGCGAGGCAGTAAGGGTTCTTAATGTTAGAACAGCTTTGTCACCATTTCATCCACCCTTAACCCCCCATACACACACACATACATATGAGCTCAAAGACAGTATTCCCCAAACACACAGCAAAGACCTTTCTGTGGAGACATTGAAGAGTTAAGAGGAGAAAATATGAAAATTAAAGTGTGAGGTTTAACAAACTCACATGTGGTATTTTGCCTTGAATAGTTCTCACTACTTGCAACCTTTACAGAAATACCAAAAAACATAACAACCCTCTAGAAGCAAGCACCCCATCTCAGAACTATTTTCTCATGACCTTCTCTATAAGAGAAAACTAACTTGCAATGTTACAGAGTGGGACGTTTTCCATTAGAAACCTGCACTCAAAATAATATTAAGATGGAAAAAAGGGCAATTTGCTTAACAAAAAAACAAAACAAAAAAAAAAAGTGCTCTTTTTATTCGAGTGAAATGGTGCGACACCAAAAGGAATAAGGGATAGACACTCAACTAGGTCATTTGTCATTTTCACTGAGATACGGAAAATGTTCGCATCGATACCATAAAGGAATTGCACCCTGTGCAGAATGTGTCTGTGACTGAAAATGTTACCAGTCTGTAAAAGAAGTACAACAAATCGAGTTTTTACCAACTTCTTTTCCATTTTCCCTGTCATCTCACCCAAACCCTCTTCAATTGTCATTACCCAAATTTGTTTACATGGGTTGGAAAAAAAAACTGATTAATTTAGTAAACTTTTTACAAACTACAAGCATTTATTAACTATTTAGAAAAGACATTTCTATATATTTTGTATATCTATGGATACTGTATATCTAGCCTAATCTAAAAATACTGTTTTGAGAGGAATTCTTCTGTGACGCTTCCTTATTTATATTATGCTCAATAATGTTTAAAATCTTGGGAGTTCATTTTTAAGCTAAAATAGATAACAGAGAAATTTAACTTTAAATGTTTATATTGTTTCTAAGTTAACACCAACCCAAATTAAGTGTCCTATAGTAAATTAATGGCAATTGGGGGATGGGGGGGGGGCTGTAAAAGTTATCGGCATACTACATAATATGTCTGTGTATTTAGTGAAATATTATGTGTCGTAGCACAACTCTGTTGGTATTAAGGCTTCTTCTTAGTAATTCCCTGTGTTGCTCTTTGAAATAAAATTACAACTATAAAAATAACCTCTTATATTGATGTGTTTAATTTACTCAGTTGGCTTATAATTTATAAAGTACCAAGATTAAGGTAGTATCTTTGTATTATTATTGGAAGCATGCCTTCCCTTTATCACACACTATTAAATTGTATTTATATTTGGGTAATTTTAAATTATGTTTTCAAATAAACTTTGTGGCTCCAAGATCTTTCCAGAAATCTTTCAAAATGAGATTTGGGGATCAGAATTGCTTCTATTCAAGTAGAACCCACTTTTACTACTGGTTAAAAGGTCCTTTATGGAATATCACTACATATGATTTTGCATGAGTTAAGTGGAAATAAGGAATGCATTTTTAGATATAAAACAAAAATCTTAAAATCTTGTTAATTTTTTAAGACTAAAATATTATTTAACCTAAACTTGGATTTTGTGATTTTTTTTATTTTATTTTTTTAGAATAAAAGCATTAAAATATATTTGTTTTAGGGTGGGGTTTTTTTTTTCATTTTTGGTAATTCAATAAATATTTGAGCACCTACTATGTACAGGTACTGTTTTAGTGCAGGACAGGGGTTAAGTAAATTAAACTTGCACTTGAAGAATTCAGATTTCTGTGAAGGATCAACAAATACTTTAATAAAAAAAACAATGTTGTGTTCTATGAAATGCTAGAAGAATGAGACATATAAGGTATTATCTATAGGCGGTCAGGAAATGTTCCTCTTGGCTGACATTTGGACTGAGATTTGAATGGCAAGAAGCCTGCTGAGTGGAGTTGGGGATAAGCGTTCCTGGCAGAGACAACAGCTAGTGCAAAATGCCAAGGTAAGAAATTAGCTTGGTATGTGTTCAGGGAGAAAGGAATCCAGGGCAGTTGAGGCTGTGAGCTGGAGAGACCTCAGGAGATGCCCTAAGGGTGGGAGATAATAGGAGATCTTCATAAATTCCTCTTCCCCCCACTCCCCCAGCAGGGGAGAGATGCCATTGAGACAGAAGTTTCCATGTGTCTGAAACGCTTACTAACTAAAGTCCTTGAGTGGTGAGGTTGGGATGGAAGGAACAAACAGCTGGCTCAGATGAACACTGACTATACACCAAGAGACCAAAGCACTCCTCCCTCTTCACTACCCCCTCTACTGAACTGAGGCAGCACTTGGTGGAATTCCATTTTCTCCTCTGAAAAATCAAGCTGGGTGTGTCTCTTTCCTACTTCACTGCTATCCTGTATAAGATAAAAAGTCCATCTACTTAATAGTGAATGTGGTTCCTCTCCCAAGCCCTTGCATAATTCAAAACATTTTTATTTGGGGGGAAAGTGATGGAGAGTAGGAATTTTTGCCCATTCCAGAGAGGCCGTGGACTATGTCCCACACAGAGTTGTCAGTGCTGACACCAGGCCAGGCCTTTAGATAGGGTCTCATGGCCCCTTCTCAGCACATAGGCCTTCTTTCATAGAACACTGTCAGCTTTCTGAAGAACAGGATGGCCCTGTGAATAACATGGTCGTCCATGGCATGATCCTGACGTAGCTTGGGAAAAACTGTTTTGTCTTGGGTTACTTGTTCTGCAAAAACAGATGTTGTTAATGGGCTTAAAAGAGGTCCTACACAAAGGGTGCTCTCTGGACTTCCTGCGTGGAGAATGGCAGAGCAGTCACCCAGCCGGCTAATAAAGGCTCCCTAAATTTTAATTTGATCTGGACTCCGGTGGTCATTCACTTGCACTTGCTCCACAACAGAAAGAACATGCCAGGCAGAGGAAAATTCTCTCAAAATCCAGAGTTGTATATTCAGCTTCCTACTCAACATCAAATAGAGGTCTGGTGAGCATTTCACACTCAACTGGTTCCAAAGTGGACTCCTAATCATCTTTGCCACCATGCCCCAACCACTAATTTTGTGGTCATTTGTTACAGCAGACATGGGAAGTTTATACAACCTAGAAAGGTGATGTCATAGAAATGCTGGAAATCTATTGATGCAGCTCGTGTAGATTCTGCTGCATTAAAGAAGCCATCAGAAAATTGAGAGTCAGGGGACCACAGAAAGGTCTCAATTGACCCCATATTCGACTAGACATATCAGCAGAGAAAGTCTAAAGGACACCAGACTCCTCCCTGCCTTGGCTCCTCCCTCCTCCACAGATGTTCCAATGTTGATGGAGACCAGCAGCCCTAGGTGGCCACACAAAGAAACCCTAAAAGGAAATAAAATTAGTCATTGTCTCAAGTTACCTGTTCCACTGATGGGCGAGAACCTACAAAGAGGAGAATTCGTTTGCTTGGCATTTTTGCAAACGGAAGGGGGGGAAGGGGAAAGAGAGTCATCAAGGGACCTCAGATTGTGAGAATAGCTTTTAATTTTAAAACAAGTGAAGCAACAAATTATCCATCCCTTTCCATCACTCTCCCAAAACATCTGAGATAGCTTACACACCAACTGTGACTAGTGCAAAATGAAATAAATACAAACACTTTCGAGAGCCACACGGAAACCTGCTCTGCAAGGCCAAGACGAGCAGTGAGACTGGAGCGGCAAGACGTACACAGTATCTCCACACCCGGCTCTGAACGGACCGAACTACACCTGGGGAGGGGAAACCACAAGAGAATGTTGCCTCAAGAGAAACAAATACGCCCAGCACCCTCCTGTGGCTGACATCCTTGGCACCTGGCAGTTGCTTGAAAAATAAACCCAAAGTTAGAGGCTCCTAAGCCAAGCGAAGGAACAGGGTTGGGGGCTCATTTGCTTTTGTCTTTTAATTGGGGTCTTATACATATTGGGGGGTTTTTACACAGAAAAATCTTCTGCTTTCTGGAAGGCATTCTGTGCCTCACGATGCTCCCGACTCCAGCAAAAAATGTTCATGTCGCTGCTGTCTAGATGTTTCAGAGAATTACCTTCCATACCTAAGGCGGGTGTCTACCCCACACCATCTAGCTCTAGATTAGCACTGCGCAATATCAGAATGAGAGTCACGTGTCTAATGTTAAATTTTTTGGTAGCCACATTCAAAAAGATAAAAAGGATCAAGTTAAATCTTCGTATCTTATTTAATATATCTAAAATATTGTCATTTCAACATGTAATCACTATAAAATATTGATAAAATATTTTACATTCCCTATTATTATTATTATTGGTAGCAAGGCTTCAAAATCTGGTGTGCATTTTATATGCGCAGCACAGGCTCAGTTCAGGCAAGCCAACTTTCAAGAGGCCATTCATTAGCCACATATGACTATTGGCTACTGGCCTGGACAGCACAGGTCTAGAGAATATTAATACAAACACTGGGGATGACTTACTGAATAGGGAATCTCTGAGTGTGGTAATCATATCACCAGTTTTGACAAATCTCAGACAGGCCCTTGTTCTGTAACCTAGTATGTCTGCCCTAAGATAAAGGACAGAATCACACTTTACTTAATTCTATCCCCTGATCCTGCCCCTGTCACCTGTCAACTCCCCACAAATAATGTAACTCAGCAACGGTGGTCCTACGAGATGAAAACATATCTTTCTGTGGTAGACAACCTTCTTAGTACTTATTTGGGGATTACAGCTAGAACTGAGTTAGAACAAGAAAATAACCTGCATAGCCCAGCAGGCATGGCTCATTGGTTGAGCGTCAACCTATAAAGAAGGAGGTCAGGGTTCAATTCTTGGTCAGGGCAGATGCCTAGGTTGGATCCCACGTGGGGTGTGCAGGAGTCATCTGATCAATGATTCTCTCTCATCTTTGATATTTCTCTCTATATATATATATCTCTCTCTCCCTTCCTCTCTGAAGTCAATAAAAATATTTTTTAAAGGAAATATTGTATACATGTGACAGATTTACCATTCTGGGGTTTTTTGGAGCAGGAAGTATTCCAAATAATTTTTTTCATTTTTGAGAGGGATGGTAACAAAGTACCTCATAAACTGGAAAGCGGAGAGTTTCAAGAACAGTGGGAAAATGGGCAACTTACCAAAGAAAGCGGGAACAGAAGCCAGGGGAGGCACACTAAAAATGAGATCGGTTCTAAGCTGGGGTGGGTAAGCTGTCACAAATCAAACACGTCACATCTAACCTAGGTGATCATCAGAACTCACGTCTGATCTCAGTAGTAACAAGAGGAAAATAAAAATAGAACCGACGGTTAGGACAGGAAGGGACTTCTGAGCTGATCTGGTCTAACCCATGCATTTTAAAGAAAAAGGCCCAGGGAGACCCCATCACACCAAGAGGCGGAGTCAGGAGGCAAAAACCCAGGAGCCCTCACCGTGAACTGCAGGTGCGGCTCCATCCCCTTCCGGTCTCAGGGGAACAAATGGTGTGGGGAGTCCCAGGCTCCCGCTACTCACACCAGACCTCCCGCAGCCCAAAGCAAGCCCCGGGCAAGGCCAGGCACATTCTCTTGTAGGTGGAGGAAACCGCTAAGTCAAAATATTGAAGCAATGCTGATGTAAAACAGCATCCAAATGTGACTCTTTCAATAGTCCTTTTTGTATACTATTTTTCCCTTTAAAAAAAAAAATACTCCAATTTGAACCAAACCTGATTTCTAATTTTTTACAAGGGCATTTCGTTCAATTGACAAAATAAAAACTTTGATACATTATATTTTCCAAAGACACATTCATTGGGCTTTTACACAAATAGATATCAAAGAGATATTTACAGGAAAAAAAGGGGCTCTCTCACACGTGCACCCACACACAGTAAGAATTTCACAATGATACCACCACGCCTTACACAGAGGACTCCGAACAGGCTGATAGTCAATTGACAAAACCCAGACATGATTCCAGTTTTCAGTTACAAATAATTTCATCTACATATGTGTGTAAAATTAAGCAGTATGTTCCAGACTTTTATTCCAGGGAAACCTGCCTTATATATATTAAAGGAATACATATAAATACATTTTTTAAGCAAAAAGAAACTTATTGTTTGCTCCAGTTTTTCCCCAATTTTCCTTCTGAAATGAAGAATAGCACATATACAAAAAACTTGGCCTTGTAGAAATAGCCCTTTGTTTTTTGAGGCAGAAAAAAAAAGGCAGCCATTTTTATTTTATTTTTTTACAGTATGGTTAGGCATCAAAAAGGGCTAAATTAATTTTTCTACTTAATTAAATTCAATACTGTATAGCTTATAATTTTCTATACTGATTTTATACCATCCATTTTGCAAGGTTTTATTATAAAATTTTTATTCTGTGCAAAATACACATGCTATCTCTGTCCACATTTTAATCCAAATCCTCAATCACACCCCCACCCCTAAGAAGGCCTTTGCTTTGTAATAGCATGAAAACCCGTCATTTATTGTGTGTCTGGCATCATTATTCCAGGGGTACTCACTCAGACCTAAGGAGACCAGACTTTGTAAGGTTGCTGAGCGTGGGAATCGCATAGACCCCAGGGGGCAGAGTTAAGTAGAGAATGACTGCACCATGAGCTTCCTCCTTATGCCAATCTCAGTTGTTCCCAAACTGAAGAAAACATCAGATGAGAGAGGAGGGAACATACTCCACTAGGACGCTCCCTGGCACACCCCCTTCTGTTCTTTAAAGATTCAAGGTATCCAATCTCACCATGTCTTTGAAGCAAAGTTGGGAAAAGAGAGCAGATGTCATCATACCATGGTGCAGACAAAGAGAGTGAGGCACAGGGAGGATGGGGGATGTGCCCCCGCTGAAGGCAACCTCTCCTCCTCTCCCCCCCACCCCCCAGCTCCAGGGCCCGCCCTTGGGCTCTGTGCCCGTGCTCACAGGTCTCTGTGAGACAGGCCCCATCATAACCTGAAAGATCATAGCTCCCAGGTCATAATCCACTGTCTGTGCTGTATTTCACCCAACTGGTTCTATTTTATCTTCCTCCAGCTTCTAAAAAGGATCCTTCCTACCAATCAAAGGCATATCAAGCAGACAGCAACAAGTCCTTTTTCATTTGACTGAATAATCTGAAATAGAAACTCCAGAGAGACTGGAACTTGGTGCAGAGCAGAAGGAGAATTCTAGGGCACCAGCCTTCCACTTTTTCATCCCATCTGACATTCTAATCCTTCGCTGCCATTCACGTGCTGAAGTGCCACATGGACATGATGGTCCTTCACGTCATGCTAGGTTTCTTTGCCGCTGAACCCGTGGGCGTGCCCACGATCACATTATTGGTGACAGCAGATAAGCAATGAAGGCAAGTCAGGAGGTGATGAGCCAAGAAAGGGCAAAGGTGAGACTCTGGCCCCAGAAAACAGCGGGGGGGGGGGGGGGGGGAGAAAACCAGACTAATTTGGGGCACTTAACATGATTCCAAACAGTTGTCATGTGTGACGGTAAGAAGCCATCAGCTAAAAATACACACTATACCTAGAGGGAAGGGCTGCTGACACCCAAAATCCATCTACCTTTGGCAAAGAATAATAATACTGTGATGCTCTCAGCATCTGGCATCTGGCGGTACACCACCAAATGTCACACACCCAAGTGAATTTTTGACTGCGCTTAAAGGGACAACTCTGTCCATTTCATGCCTGAAAATGTAAGCAGGGAACTATTTTTTCCAACTGTTCCTGAGTTATGGTTTCTTTAAAAGATGTACTTGCTTTTCCCAGCTGTGCTTAACGCCAACTCGTTTAACCTTTCCAAACCAACCTGCCACAGATTTCCTCGTTGACATTCTGTCTCAGTCTCGCACACATCCGCGCAGTTGTGTTCTGAATTGTGATGGGATTAAATTAAAAACATGTCATTGCAGATGCTCTAATTTACTATACTCAGGTCGGAAATTCTTGTACTGAATGGAAAAAAAAAAGTATGTCACAAATAAAGCCCAGCCCAGTTACTGATTTTTGCTATGAAACGAAAGTGGGCTTTTCATTTATTGTGGGTGGGACCAGACCACTGACCTCACCCCCCCACAAAGCAAAATTGAGGATTGGTGGCACATTCCTGTCTTTGACGTGCTGGTGGCAGATTCCCTACCAGCAATAGGAGCGAACGCTTTTCTCTTTTTAACCATTCTCTCCTTGAACATTTATAAAAAGAAAAACTATCTACAGTAGTGTATCATTGCTAATAGAAATGTCTTCCCAGTTCTATTTCAGAAGGAGTCAAATGATGCTCTTTAAATAAACTATAAATACCCCCACGTATTCCTTTATGTTTGGCTGTCCCAACTTCTTTTTTTTATTTTTTTTATTTTTTTGGCAAATTAAAAAGGCGTATGGCTTCTCGCCGATTTGTACATCTGAGGTTTAGCTTGGTATCCTGCGGTAAAAGTACATGTAGCCCAGGTCTTTCGGGGGCCTTTCGGAGGCACACACTCTGTGGTCATTGTAGATCACCCATCTGAAAACAAAACACAGAAGCATTTGATGGATTTAAGTCAATTCCAAGAAACTTTGCAGAAGAAAAGTTACTGAGACGTGCATGAAAGAACCAAGATGTTTTAAGATAACCAAACTCAAGTTTGTTATATAAAAGGGAACAGAATGCTGGTGGGAAATTACAATTGTGGGTTTTTTTTTTTAAGTCTCAAGCTCAATCAAAAAGTAGTTACTAAAAGAGCCTCTAAACATTTTAAATCCTTTGATCTCTTTCCCCCCCCCCCCCCACCCCAGAAATCCATAAATAACCTCAAAAATTGAGTCAAATGAAAAACAACTGAACCCTAACTGGTTTGGCTCAGTGGATAGAGTGTTGGCCTGAGGACTGAAGGACCCCAGGTTCAAATCTGGTCAAGGGTACATGTCCGGGTAGCAGGTTCGATCCCTAGTACAAGGCATGAAGGAAGCAGCCAATCAACGATTCTCTCTCATCATTGATGTTTCTATCTCTCTCCCTCTATCTTCCTCTCTGAAATAAAAATATATTAAAAATTAAATAAAATAAAAAATAAACTGTTTAAAAAAACAACAACAAAAAACAATTGAGTCAAAGAATTGTATATAACTAGAGGCCCAGTGCACAAAATTCTGGGGAGGGTCCCCCTCAGCTCAGCCTGCACCCTCTCCAATCCGGGGCCACTGGATCCTAACTGTTCAACTGCCTGCCTGCCTGATTGCCCTTAACTGTCCCCACTGCCAGCCTGATCGCCCCTAACCTCCTCTGCCTGCCAGCCTGATCACACCTAACTGCCCCCTCCTGCTAGCCTGGTCGCCCCCAACTGGCCCCTCTGCCAACCTGGTTGCCTCCAACTGTCCCCCCCTGCTGGCCTGGTCACCCCCAACTGCCTCCCATGCCAACCTGGTTGCCCCTCACTGTCTCCATCAAATCCATTAAATCCATTAAATCCATCAAATGCTTCTGTGTTTTGTTTTCAGATGGGTGATCCACACAGCCTGCTATTCAGTCATTTGGTCATCCCTCACTAACCCTCCTGCTGGCCTGGTCACCCCACACAGCCTGCTGTTCAGATGTTTGGTCATCCCTCATGAGCCCCCCACCCCCCACCAGCCTTGTTGTCATCACACAGCCTGCTGTTCAGTCATTACTATGAGGGCATTCTGACCAATTTGCATATTATTCTTTTTTTTCTATAAATATATTTTATTGTTTTTTACAGAGAGGAAGGGAGAGAGTTAGAAATATCAATGAAAGAGAAATATCCATCAGCTGCCTCCTGCACACCTCCTACTGGGGATGTGCCCACAACCAAGGTACTTGTCCTTGACCGGAATCAAACCTGGGACCTTTTGGTCCACAGGCCGACGCTCTATCTACTGAACCAAACTGATTAGGGCTGCATATTACTCTTTTATTAATATAAATAGTGTTTGTTTAACCTTATGTACAAAACTAACTAAAAATCAGAAGAAAATTAGCCAGGCAGTGAATAATATACAACTATTAAAATGTTTTCAAAGAATATTTGCTAAATTGAGAAAATAATAACAATATAATACAAAGTGAGAAAAAGCAGGTTACAAAATTGTATCTGTTGTGTACATTAAACTTTTAGAAACGTTATAAATACATATGCATAGTTATATGTAGTATGTGTGTATAGATTTACACACCTTCTCGAATGAAAACAATAAATCAAAGAGAAATATATCCAAATATAGACAACAATTATCCCTAGGCTTCCAGATGACATATTTTTGTATGTGTTTATATTGTATCAACTCCTATGATGAATTTTATTGTTTTTTAAAATTATAATTAAATGATTTCTCTTCAGCATTTTTAAAAGAACTATCAGGTTGGGTAAAAAAGGAATTCACTATATATCAAGTCTTTGTACTATACTATTTTATGAATCAAGTGGAAACAAGACCAAAAGATATAGCAAAAAGGAACACAATTGATGCTGGTGGGAAGTGGTCACTACTCCAGTGTGAGGAATGGGGTGAGTGGTCAAACGCTGCCTTGTGCAGGAGTGCCAACCCCCAGGCCACTCAATGGAGAGCACCTGAGAGGAAACCAGAAGAGCCTGCAGGGACCTGGCCCAGGGAAAGGGTTCTGAAGAGAGGCGCCTAATCTTTCTCATTCCCAGCTCACCACACACAACAATTCTAAGTAAGACGCCACGAGGCCTACTGCACGGTTGCAATAAAGCAAGACACTGGCCACTCAGTGTTGCCAGATAAAACACTGGATACCCTGTCAAATCTGAATCTCATATAGGCAACAAATTATATTTTAGTATAAGTATGACTCATGCAATATTTGAGTTATAATTCACTTACTCAAAAAGTAATTCACTTACTTTTACTTGAAATTCAATTTTAATAGGGCAACTGGTTTTCCTTTATTTTTTTTATTATTATTATTATTATTATTATTATTATTATTATTTAGTTATTTGTTTAATCTGGCAATCCGATGGAAGTTTCAAATATGACATACATTCTGCTGTAGGATGCATCTTAATTGTGGAAAGTTACCTTGTATGGTGGCATAATGATTAAGAGTGGCTTTGAATACCAGCTCTGACACAACAACTTACTAGCTAAGATCAAGCTAATTAGACTCCCTGAGCCTCAGTATCTTAAATGGTTTTAAGAGTATATCCTACAAGACCATTGTGAAAGGCACATGTGATAACATATGAAGCACCTAGTACAGTGCCTGGCGCTCAATAAAACACATATATTTTTACCTTCTAAAAAGACTCACCTTCCTTCCTTTTTAATATGGCAAACATAATGGCCACTCATTGTAGATGTTCCCATGTGACTGATGAATGCAAATAATTCGTACACTGTGAAAGAGGAAACAACACAGTCACAAGACAGCATTTCTAGAAACCAGCAGCACTACTGATCAGAATTTAAAGCCAATGATTATGTAATCCAGCAACTGTTTAAATTGAAAGACAAAGCCTACTTACCTTGCTATACCCATTCACCCACAAACTCACCCAAAGTGACACCAAATTCAAAACCTTCAAAGTTATCACAAAGTGGGACATCAACCATCAGCATACAGCTGACAGTAAATTCGTATCTAGAAGGGCTATAAAAATCCTGCAGCCAACCTGGTGGCAAATCCATGGGTTTAACAGGGTAGACCTGGCTCTCTCCCATTCCAGCAGCATGAGGGCAGAGGGGTTATTCCATCTCTCTAGGTTCATTTCTTCACAAAGATGAAAAACCCACCCACTTCACAAGGTTGGGTGAGGCTTAAATGAGCAATTCAGAATAAAATACCATACAGATGTCAGGACTATAGGGAAGACAGCAAACAGCTATTACCATTCATAGAAAGGAATGGTGCTTCAGAATATGCTTCTTGTGATTTCTGACTTGCTCATGATTATACACTACTAGAGGCCTGTTGCACGAATATTTGTGCAATAGGCCTTCCTTCCCCTGGCTGCTGGCATCAGTTTTCCTCTAGCACTTGGGACCCAGGTCTTGGCTCCGGCAGCGGCAAAGCCAAGTCTCTTCAGTCTTCAACCTTCGGTTGTCTTCCATCTTTGCTTGGGCTGGAGTCTTCAGTTTTCGCTCTGCACCTGTGTATGCAAAGTAACCCGCCATCTTTTTGGGTTAATTTGCATACTCACTCCTGATTAGCTAATGGATGTGTAGGGAGGTATGGTCAATTTGTATATTTCTTTTTTATTAGTGTAGATATGGGACCAAAATTTAGGTTTCCTGCTTTCTGAACAAGGAGATATACAGCCTCTTACAGAGTGAAACTGATGTTTTTTTTCTCTGAGAAGTACCTCCTGCCATTTGATAGAGAATTTGTGTCAAATCTACATTGAATGAATTTGAGCTCCTGCTCCCCTGGCCAAATCGAGACCTACACAACACAGAGTGGGTTCCACGGAAAAGTACCAGTCCTTCGCAAACGGCTACCAATTACAGAAATTGAGTGTTTACATCCTTTTATGATGATTTGAGAATATTCACGTCTGTGGAATCTAATAAGAAAAAAAAATGGACTTGCATATTCATTTGTCTAGTACTCAATCTTTATTGCATTTTTTTCAAAGTATTTGTTCTAGGCAGACCTCTGCCCTTACCTCTCCCTTTCCCATTCTCCCATACTCATCCCTGACTGAGCTGTGAAGCCCTACTCAGCTTACTCTTCAGCACATCACACATAGCTGATCACCTCCTTCTTCCTCAAATATTTGCCCTCAGGATACAACCCCTTCTTGGCTGTCCAGCTGCCTCACTGGCTCCTCATCTCCCTGACCTCTCAGTGGTGGTGACCTCAGAACTTGCTTTTCCCTGTCATGATTTATCCAGTCTCATGGCATTAAGAATTATTTTCTTAATTTCCAGAATGTTCATTGCTAATGTAAGGAGATACAGCTGAATTTTGTACATGGATCTTGTTCCTACATTAGTATTCTAATAGGGTTTTAGTGGATTCCTTAGAATTTTCTACATATAATACAAAATTATGTTTTCTGCAATGGAGATAGTTTTACTTCTTCCTTGTTAATCTGGATGCTTTTCACTTCTCTTTCTGGCCTCACCTTGGCTAGAACCTCCTGTTACAGTGCTAAATGGGATGCCAAGAGTGGACATTCTCGTCTTGACCCTGACCTTGGGGGGAAAGCAGTCCGTCTTCACCACTGAGTAAGATGTGAGCTGTGGATGCTTTTTACCACGTTGAGGAAGTTCCCTTTCATTCCTTGTTTGTTGAACATTCTCTCCTCAGCCTCAGCTGTCTCTGTCAATGATGACTCCACTCTTCCAACAACTGAGAACAAAATCTTAACTTCTCTCTCACACTTTACACACACCCAATCCATCAGCAAATCCTGTCAGCATTTCCTTCGATACATATCCAGAATCCAACCACTTCTTATCACCTTCACTAGGAACCCCTGATCCAAGTCACCATCATTTCTCTTCTGAATTTTTCAAAGTACTGGAAGTGGTATAAAAAAATAAAATAAATAAAAAATAAATAAAAAAATAATAAAAAAAAAAACCCTGCCTAAACCACTGTGTCCAACATCTGGCTAACAATGTCCCTCTAAACAGCCGGAATTAAACAGTGTCTGAAATTAGCATCCTTCCTTTCTACTTCCCTCTCCCAACAAAACTTGTCCTTTTTTGAACTTAAGAAAATGTTCCTAACCTTTCTAATGTGAAGAATTTTTTAATGTCAAAATTTTCCACCACCATCCCTGCCCAACATAATATCAATTATCCTCCGATTTAATACTTTGAAAAAGCACCATCATAAAAAACATACATGAAGCTTGGCAAGTAGAAGGGGTAGACAGCATGTTCTTTCATGTCACATGGATAAATAGTCTCCCCAGGGTTACCTAGGGGAGGGATCAGCATACTGCCACGACCCATAGGCCAAATCCAGCCCACCACCTATTTTTGTACTGCCGAGGAGAAAGGGAAGAATGAGGGGGGGAAATATGAGATAATACGGATATGGCCCATAAAGCCTAAAAACATTTATTATCATCTGTAAAAGAAAAAAAAAGAAAGATTTATTGGTCCTGGTCTCGTGGAAAGAACTTGTTTCATCTCACTGTTTACGGCTGATTAAAGGTCCCAGACTTAATGAAGTTACTTAACTTGTAGATCTTTGCTGGTAAAGAAACAAAAATAATCTGTTCAGTAAAACATAACTGAAGGTTATGGTCCTAGTAGACACTAATTTTATATTTAACTCAGCAATCGATTTTTATTTATTTATTTATTTTTGTTAACCCCTCACTCGAGGATATTTTTCCATTGATTTTTTTTTTTAAGAGAAAGTGGAAGGGAGGGAGAGAGACAGAGAGAGAGAAACATCTATGGGAGGCACATCAATTGGGTGCCTCCTAACCAGGGCTGGGGATTGAACCTGCAACTGAGGGATATGCCATTGACTGGAATCAAACCTAGGACACTTCAGTCTGTGGGCCAACACTCTATCCACGGAGTCAAATTAGCCAGAGCTCAATTTATCTTTAAATACCTTAGCTTTTCAGATGTTTTTCAATCCATAATAACACCTGCTTTCCTCATTAATTAATGCATCAAAGAAAGTCTGAAATATGTTCAGTGTATATGTACCTGAGAGTCATGACTTTACCTCTTTGAAAATCATAGTCCAACAACACGTAATGAACAAAAGCAGCTCTAGATTCAGGAGTGCAATTAAATGAATTTCTATTTTATAGACCATTAATTTGAAGAGCAGCAGTATCTCTTTAGGGTGAAACACATCAATCAGTCTTCAGGGAAGGCTCAGAATACAGAAACACCAAAAGATTCCTTCAAATAACCACCAAGACCCCAGGAATCTGCAGCCTTCTGGTGAGAAACTCAAACTGTGTTTTCCAACTGAATCTTCCTAACTTGGGTAATGTGTGGCATTACTCACCCCTAACTCCCTCCATACAACAAAGGGGAAAGCATCATCTCCAGTTGACTAATATTTGACTCATAAACACTCTATATTTACAAATAACTTCTTCCCCCAACAGCTTGATCTAGAAAACGTCTGAGTTCCCAAAAAGAGAGGAAGGGATTTGGGTAAATCAATAACAAGTTAAGGCGGCTGTCTCCGGCTCCCCGTGCTGGAAAATCTCAGCTGCGACAGAAGTCTGAACCACTCCTGATGAGGTTGAAGGAGCCAGGGCAGGTTTGAATAATCACAGACTAATCACATTGTAATTACATTGGCAGTCAGTTCTTTTTTTAAAAAAATAAATGCTCATCAAGTGCAACACAGAAACAGAAATGATTTTGCAAATGGAGAAGCCCCGTTAGGTCAGACTGAATGACTGATTTTCCACTTTCTTGAATTTTAAAAAACACAACAGAAAGGTAGGTGCCAGCCCTAAAATGATGACAAATAGAGCCTTTTCAAAAATAAACTCCTGTCGCCCTAGCCAGTTTGGTTCAGTGGATAGAATGTTGGCCTGTAGACCAAAGGGTCCCGGGTTCGATTCCTATCAAGAGTACGTACTTGGACGGGGCTCATGGGCTCATGTAGGAAGCAACCAATCGATGCATTTCTCTCACACAGATGTTTCTCTCTATCTTTCCCTCTCTCTTCCTCTTCCACTCTCCCTAAAAACCAATGGAAAAAATATCCTCTCGTGAGGATTAACAAAATAATAATAATAAATAAATAAACTCCTGCCTCCATTCCTCCATTCCCATATGGAAAATCTAAAATAAGATGATTCAAGCCGAGCCAGCATGGCTCAGTGGTGGAACGTTGACCTATGAACCAGGAGGTCACAGTTCAATTCTGGTCAGGGCAGGCAGGAGCAGCCAATCAATGATTCTCTTTCATCACTGATGTTTCTCTATCTCTCTCCCTTTCCCTTTTTGAAATCAATAAAAATATATTTTATAAATAAATAAATAAATAAATAATAAAGATAACTCAATAGTGGGTAAAGGAGAAAGTGCACAGGCTTCAAAATTAGACAGCCCTGAATTCCAAGCTGGTTCCACCACTAGGAGGCACTTAGCTAGTGGGAGCCACCATCTGAATACCGGGCTGCAAGGAGTGAGGAGATGCTTAGAGCCATGGTCGACAAACTGAGGCTCACACAAGCCATATGCGGCTCTTTGGCCCCTTGAGTGTGGCTCTTCCACAAAATACCACGGCCTAGGCAAATCTATTTTGGAGAAGTGGCGTTAGAAGAAGTTTAAGTTTTAAAATTTTGGCTCTCAAAAAGAAATTTCAATCGTTGTACTGTTGATATTGGGCGCTCTGTTGACAAATGAGTTTGCCGACCACTGGTCTAGAGCAGGGCGTTCAGTAAAGGCCAGC